CCGTGTGGGCTTCGCAGGCACCCAAGGTCTAGGGTGTTACTCCAGGAGTGCTGGTTAGCTGTTACAGAGTCGTAAGTAGAGTGACATAGAGTACACGTTCTGATCCACATCCTTAAAAAAATAGCAGTGAGTGCCGTGTAGGACTTACATGAGAGAGAGCCATGGATGGTTATGGGGAGACCAGGCCCTGTATCGGGGTAGTTGAATTGAGAGAGGTGGTAGTTTGGACGAGGATGGTGGCCATGGAAGTGGAGGGAAGTAAGTGAATCTGAGACTGTGACACATCAGACGCGGAGATGTTTGGATGACTTTCTGGCTGGGCTACTAGTTTCCAGTTTTCAGTAACCAGGATCACTGAATGTCTAGGGGAAGAAAATGTGAGTTTAGTTTTAGACTTCTGTTTAGTTGAGATGCTTCTGAAATATCCAGGTGAAAATGTTGAGAAAGTAGTTGCCTGTGTGGATATGGAGGGAAAACAAGGGCTTGTAATGGAAACGGGCTGAAGACATCTGTCACGTGGTGATCAGGCAGACCAGGCAGTGAGGGCTGAGAAGTTGGCAGAGGGGTGGGAGGGAATCCAGAAAAGAGAGTATAAGATTATAATCAAAGGGGACATTCATATGAGGAGGCAAGCCTAAGAGTGACAGGCATGGTGTGTCTGAGGAGAGAGGCGAAGATTTAAAGATTAGATTCAGAATAGAAATACTATGAAGATGGTAGAGACTGAATTAAGGAACCAGTAAAAGGCTGGCCTGACACAGTGTTTTCACCCGTGTCCCTTAGAGCACTGGGTCCTTGCGGGTGTTACTGTCATGTTCTCTCTCTGTCTCTGTGTCTCTGTCTTTCTCTTTTTCTCTCACACACAAACATGTTTCATGGTTGACTAAGTATGGGGGTCACTGTTAAAATGAAGTGTTTTTCAACAACATGACTTCTAAGAGCATTTGTCTGGCACCGTGAGTCTCCAAGGTGGATGGACCATGCAGCTATTCTTACTGACTCTCGGGAATCCAAGTTCGCCGTCTCTGGAACAGACACACTTGCTGGGTGCCCTTAACAGACTCGGCCACAGAACTGTGCACCCGGCCCTCTCAACATCCTCCTCTCCCTCTCCACCCCTGCTCCCCAGCCTCCTCTCTGTCAAAGGTACAGTTTTTCTCAGGCGTTGAAATAGCAGGGTCCAGCTTCAGGGGGTTGTGGGCTTAGGGTTGTGGAGGCCAGAATATTTTTGAAAGCAGGCGTGGCACTAGGGACTGGGGTCCACTCCGGCCCGTGGTGGTGACTAGTGGGTCTGGGTGTTGGGAGGGATGAATCTTCAGTAACCGGTGAAGGCCTGCAACTTAGCAGCAGGGGTCTACTTCATATGTAGGCAAACAGGAAGCCTTGAGAAAGGAATATTCTGGAAGAAATCTACAGGTAATCGGGGTGGGGGGTGGGAAGGGGTGTACAGTAAAAGAAAGGAAGTAACTGAAAGATAACCCCTGTGCTGGAGACTGGAATGATGTAACCTTGGGAGGTATGTGAGCGAGAGTTGGAGAGGGGAGGGTTGTTACTTGAACGTTTGGAACTTGGAAGCTCCTTTACGTTGTTAATTGCTGTGTTAGTGTGTAGTTACTGTGCACATAGCTTTGGCCATGAGGAAAAATGACCCTATTCAATAAGTAACTCTCATCACCACTGGCACAGCAGTGAGATCACCAGCACCCCCTCACAGAGGGCTATATGCGGTTTTAAAAAGCAGTGGAAGATCACTGTAGAAGGTTTAAACAGATAAGAGTGGTGTTACGAGCAACTGGATATGTTGTGAGGTGGAATTTTGCTGGAATCGGAAGCCCAGCGTTTATCTTTTTATCTCCAGTGCCTAGTGTAATGCCTGGTAAACAGCCTTTGATTGAATGGGTGGATGAATAATCCCTAAAATTCATCCTTTCTAAAGAAGAACCAGAGAAGAGTACTTGAGACTAAATTCCCTTTGGAGGGGAAAGCCAGAATTTTCCAGATGACCTCTAGGTTCTGGTACAGATTTGTAGCACTAGTTCGACATAGTTGATGGTTGCTGATAAGAGTGAGAAGTTGGGGCTTTAACAGGTAGAAAATAACTGACTTCTGCTTGATCCCACATGTTTTGCAATGAGAAAGCCGAGATGTTGGGCAGGAAGAAACAGTTGGTCTTGCTGTAGCAATGAGGAGCAGAATCTTGCAGATTTGATTAACATTGTTTAAAAACCTATTATGTTTTAGTTCCACTTTTTGTACCTTCCTACACATAAGTATTGCTGCATAAGAGATGAATGAGAGGCACATGAGAGTGTTGTAGAATAAATGTATAGACAAGTGAATTCATATGTACCTGTGCTGGGCACAGCCTTCTTATTTCTTCATCTGCGTATTTGTATCCTAGCATTTGACATGACTGGTTCTGTCTCATGCATGCATAGGTATCTATTTGGGATTCAAATTACCTCATAAGGACCCTCATTATACTCTTAGGACAATGATAAACAGTTGATATTATCTGTATATCATTATGTCCTCAATATTTCTTATTTTGATTGTCTGGTCATTGTCTTTCCTCCTCTTTACCTCTCTCTTCTCCCAGGACATGGAGGCCTTCATTTTTCCTATTCAATTACTGATTTAATTTTTCAGTGTTTAAAAAAAATTTACTGACTGCTAACTATATACTGTCATCCCTCGGTATCTGCGAGGGATTGCTACCAAAATCCCCAGATGCTCAATCTTTTAAAATAAATTGTGCATTTTTTGCATATAACCCACACACATCCTCCTGTGTATGTTACTATTTTTATGTATACATTTTAAGTTTGTTTATAAACTAAAAGATAAGCAACAAACTAATATGTAACAGATGAAGGATTAATATGCAAATATATTTAAATGCCTACATATCAATAAGAACTAGAAAAAACTAATGATGATTATAAGTAGAACAAATGGCCAATAAAGATGAATGATGTTTAATAACCTGGGGAATGCATTAAGATAACATACATTTTAATCTATTAGATTTAAAAAGACATAAATAGTTTCATTAAGGTTACACACTGGTGAGGGCATGGTTAACAGGTGCCAGCAGAACTATATTTCTGTACTTTGGACAGCCACTTTTTTAAAATCTATTTTTATGTATAGTGGCTAATATTTGTAAATCTCAAACTCCTAAATTTATCCCTTTCTACTCCCTTTTCTCTGGTAACCACAAGATTGTTTACTATGTCTGCAAGTCTGTTTCTGTTTTGTAGATGAGTTCATAGTGTCCTCTTTTTTTTTTTTTCAAAATTCCACGTATGAGTGATACCATATATTTTTCTTTCTCTTTCTAGTTTACTTCACTTATAATGACAATCTCTAGGTCCATCCATGTTGCTGCAAGTGGCATTATTTTATTCTTTTTTATGGCTGAATAGTATTCCATTTCCTATATACTTTAAATCACCTCTTGATTACTTATAATTTCTAATACAACATAAATGCTGTGTAAATTGTTGCTGGAACACAGAAAATTCAAGTTTGCTTTTTGGAGCTTTATGGAAATTTTTGTCCTGTGTTTGCTTGAATCCACAAATGCAGACCCCACAGAAACAGAGGGCTGACTGTACCATGAATCATACTGGTCACAGACATAAACAGGATGTAGTCCTCTTCAAGAAGCTTCAGTCAGTAGAAGTAGTAGGCACATATGTGTAGCACCAGTAAGACATTGTAGTAAGTTAGCATAAAACAGAGCAAATATAGGTTCTGTGTTATTCTGGAGAGAGACTCCTTATAATGAGGATCAAGATGGGCAAGGCAGGCTTTTTAGTGGAAGTTATACCAAAGCCAAACCATCTCCTTTACTTCTCTGTATCCTGTTGTTGCATTACATTCCAGAAGCAAAATGGATCAAGACCTCCAAAGGTCTACTGATCTGTCATCACATCTTCTTTCCCTGCTGAAAGAAGCTTCCTTTGGGGAGCTAGTCTTTTCTAGTGAATCCCATCAACAGAAAAGCCTGCATTTCAAAACAATCAGTGAATACAAAACACAACATAGCTATGAAATCTGTGGTCTCTAGAAATCAGTCAGAGTCTGTCATTTACAGCAGTTTATGGCTGAGCTGCTTTTCTGTTTAAACAACAAATAATACTGAAGGAATTTTAACTTCTGAGGACTAGACTCAAACCCAAGATTTTGTGGTCTACTCAGACTTCTTAATGCATTTAGAAAAATGTAGGATTTTGACTGTTTTGAAACATCTTTGTGAATTATAGAGACAAGACTAAAAATAAAAATCATCTAAATTCTCCATAAAGAATAAATTTTGTGTTTCTTGAAGCCTATAAAATATTCTGCCTTATGTTAAAATGCAGAGGATCCTCTTCTATAAAGAAACAGATTTAGAACAATAAATTTTTAGCTTGAGATTTTAAAGGGTGAAAGAGGACAGTTAGAAGGAAAAGAAGCCTGGAGCCATTTTTGCATCAAAAAGAAAATTCAAAAGAATCAAAAATCACTTATGTTTGTTCCATGACTCAATACTGCGACTGTACTTTCCTTTTCCCAAAACAAATAGGCACAAACAATGATTGCAATAGTTAAATAAGTACTTTTTTCTTTAAAAATCTTACAGCACCTTTAGGATCAAATTACTCCCAAATTTAACTTGATTAATTTCTGAATAAGAAATAACAGTTTAAAATGAGTCTTGCATTTCAGAGAGTATTATAAACAGCTAAAAAAAAACAAGGGAGGAAAACTACTGTTTTAAAGCATGCTGGAATAAATAAAAATATTTTTTGGCACATCATTAATAGCCAATAGCATTTGGAAGATTTGGAGATGATCTGATTTGCATTAAAGATATTTAAACACTTTAAAATGCCTCGTGAATTAAGTCGAGCTTTACCTCAAACAGATGCTAAAGAATATGAAAATATATGGAGTTTTGCTATATTTAAGATCATGATTAACTAAAAACCACTTGGCTTCTGTCTTTCCAGAGAGCACAGTCAGATGAACTGGAAAAAATTGAAAAGCATGGCCGGTCCTCCAAAGACAAGGAAAATGCCAAGTCTCTGGACAAACCTGAGCAGTAAGCATTCCATAGGACCCTGCAGACGGCATCCAAGAAGGGGGGGCTCCTTCTGTTTGGAAAATGCGGTATCTTCTGTGCATAAGTGTCATGAACGGTGTGAGGATAAACGTGTTTATGTGCATCGTATTTTTCCTCTCAACTTGGCTTTATTTCCTTAGGTTCCTTTATGAACTGTCACTAATCCCCAACTTTTCAGAGCGAGTCTTTTGCATCCTGTTCCAGTCCACATTTTCAGAAAGCATTTGCTCAATTCGTCGCAAACTGGAGTTGCTACAGAAATTGTGTGAGGTGGGTTCTGGTCCATGGAGAGCTGCAGCTTGGGTTCTGATATTTCACTGTGTTCAGTCACGTTCATATTTCAGACGAGGTGTCTTCTGTTTACTGTAAGTTCTCATAAAACCTGTAGGATAGCAGTCCCACAAGAGAGAACGCACGGTGATTGAGCTGCAAGATTAAAGCAAATGTGCTGATGGGCGCCCGGCACCCAGGGCTGTACTGCTCCAGTGCACTGCCCAGCTCCACAGGTCCCTGTTCCTTCTGCTTCTGTCAAAGCGCTGTCTTCACTTTTCATGCGTGGCCTGCTCATACCTCTGACTTCCAACTGAATGCCATTTGAAGGCATTTTATTTATTTATTCTCCGTTTTGGGGAGGGCCTCTCAACAAATTGTTAGTGATTCAACAAAATGCTTTAGGAACAGCTGTATGACTATAAATATTCTTCTGAAAACAAAGAATAAATGCTTGGCAGACATTACCAATATAAACATTTAAAATAATATGTCAAAAATTAATGGTACCATTCGTGCTGGTTTTTGTAAATCATTTTGAAATGTAGTAAGATGTTATTAAAGACACGTTTTCAAAGGACATGACATACAAATTTAAGTGAAACTTAGTGTTTTGGAAGAATTGAGTGCGAACCTTTGAGAGATAAATCTAAATTTGGAAGTTAAACTTTAAAACTACGTTTTGGTTTCCCATACCTTATGCCAAAACTTTGCATTGTACCGGAGGCAGGTGCAGTTCGGCTAATGGCAGGGGCATTATTCTGTGGTGGTTCCCGTGTTACCGCCTTGTTTGTTTCCCTTGCAATTACATCACAGAAACGGCCCTGGTTGGTACCTCTCAGCTTACAGAAGCGCGCCCGCGTGCTGTGGGTGTTGCAACTTTTTTAAGTTACCTTTGGAGACACTGCTCTTCAAATATACCTACTAATGAGCACTGGTAAAGTTTGGATGTTACCCCAAAATTATTAGTATACTGTGAATGCCTGCCACAAACTTAGGAGAATCCAAACAAAACTTTGTGTAATTGAGAAATTGTTCTTTATCTTGTTTTACAGACATTAAAAAATGGCGCAGGGGTTATGCAGGTTTTGGGTTTGGTTCTTGCCTTTGGCAACTACATGAACGGTGGAAATAAGACTCGGGGACAGGCAGATGGCTTTGGATTAGACATCCTTCCGAAGCTGAAAGACGTCAAAAGCAGTGTAAGTGTTTTGGGTGAATGAATGTAACAGATTGAAGACTGGATATCTTGTTTAGTAATAAGTTTGACTGACTGTAAACCTGTTGTTATAAATACTTATGTTCCAAGGTCAAAAACTTCTTTGTGTTCTGAGAGCTACATAAAAGTAATGGCCGTCTTATATTTGTGATGGAGAGAATATTAAAGTTTCCTGAAGTAAGTAATTTTGAATCCTTTGTCTAAAGAATAATTTAGACAACGTTTTAATATAAAAATAACTATCTTTCTAAAAGTAATGATCTATCTTTACCATGTCTGCTAATTTTATCCTTTTGGATCTGAGGACAAATTAATTTCCATAGATGAGACCGTATATCCATTACTTTCTCCTGCTCTTCCGTATTAAGCAATGGGAGGCCAACAGGCTCATATTTTAAAAACTAAAAAAGGATGAGCGAAAGTATTTGTAAATAAAATATAAAAGATGATCTTTTTCCACATATCAACCTCTCCTTGATCCTGGTGTGTCTGAGAATGTCTAAGCCTTTTCGCAAGCCTAATTATTTTTTTATTCTACTTCCATAGTTGTGTTTGTTTCAAATTAACATGTGAGAGATTATGATAGTATCAATAGAAATATAAGACTGGGGAAACCACCATGATGGTCAAAGTTAAAGTCTGACATTGTCCACTGAGAAAATAATAGAATTCTGTTTGTCGGATAAAAGAGTCTCCCAGCAGAACTGCATGATGAAGGAAATTGTGAAGGAAATGGTTTTAAAATATTAAGTTTAAGTGAGCAGTTGACCTATAGAAATGAAAATATATAAATTATCCTTCTTAGATAAGGAAATAATCCCCCTGATGAGAGAAAGATATTTTTTGTTTTTTTTCTGCCAGTCAGCAACTCACTTGTTTATTCATTCATACATCCACTCAACATTCATTTAACATTCTTTCATAGGGCTTCTATGAAATGCCAGACACTGTGCTTTTCCAAAATTGAGAAAAACATAGTCCTTGCTTAGAACACCAACAGCATGTAATTTTTGTGATTTTTGATGGTTATATTTGTTCAAATGCTGTTTATTTGTATGAGACACATTTTCATAGGAACCTCCAGTATGTCAACCTGATAAGTCACATTTCTTCAAAAACAAAAGCTTTCTTCTAACCATATGCCAGTTCTTGAATAGTTCTTAAAAAACTGATTTTTGGATTGAAACAAGTAATTTTCTGTTACTTATAAAAATGGATCTGAAATAGAATCTGATAATCATAATTATACATGAATAAGGGATTTTTCTATATTGGTTGATATATCTTATTCAATCCTCCAATAAGTTAAATTTCATTAAGTTAAATAATCTAGATAAAAAATAAAGAAGAAGCAAGATTTTTTTAGTAGTTTCACAAGAGCTATGCAAAGCCTTCCTGAGTTTGTTCTTTCTCCATAACTAATACTTACATAGTTACATTTGTGTATCTCAGTACTGTTTGTATACCTGCAGGGATGGAGCTGTTGCTCAGATTGCTTGGAATTAATTTTTGCTCAGCATGCCTACAGCAGGCATTTAATGCATGTTTTGTTCATTGATTCAGGTACTGCTAATCATTTCACTGATTTACAAGTTAGGAAAGACAAAGGAAGTCAAGTTGCTTAAATCTTTTCACAGGCAATCCTATTTCTTATGAATATATTGCTTTTATTTTTATAGCTGTATATTCCTATGTAATAGTTAATGATATAGAATATATTGCTTTACGGGAAGTCTGATAGATATATTATCATGTCATGTCAAATTTGATGATAAAGGGATGTTGCTCTTTTTATCAATGGGGGGAAAAGTGCTGGCTAGATTATTATAGAAAACAAAGTCTGTATTACAGATTGTGTTTTAAAAATATGTAGTTGGTTTCACACATCCAGATTTTGAGCAATGAAAAAAAATTAAAAATTAATGCCTCTAAATGTGCCAGAAAAAAGAGTGAACAGCTTCTTCTTTGTTAGGTATGAAACAATTTTACTTTTTTTTCTTTAGAACTACACACATTTTCCATTATTTATAGTTGTATGGATATTAATTTCTACATCTCAATTGCTGACATGATTTATAATATTTGCATTTAAAGCTTCAGCTTACTTAAAATAATACTTAACTTAAATTTTCTTAACCTACATACTAACCAGCCTCAGTCAGACTTGCTGTTGAAGTGGTACCTGCTGGTCCAGCTGTACAAAAATGCTGGAAACAGTCCATCATTTCAGTTTAGATGGTAGTTATGCTTTTAATAGTAAAACATAAAAATTAATGAGGTAATTTTCTGATGGAGGAGGATGAAAACAGGAAAGTATACACAGTTGAGACTCCACCCTGAAACAGCTGTGCTTCCACTTGGAGCTTAGCTTGGAACCGTGGGGAAAACAAGGTCTTCTGTGTCATTAAACTAAAGTAATGTGAAACAGAATTTCCCCTTTCATCCTAAATATTCTCATCTAAATATGTGGATTAGCTGGAATTAATTTTTTTGACACTGTGTATATAGTAATTTTCAAAGTATATTTCTACTTACTTTGGCCTTTCTCCTAGGACAACAGCAGGAGCCTTTTGTCATACATTGTTTCCTATTATCTGCGCAATTTTGATGAGGTAAGACGGTTTTTACACAGTCATGCTGCGTTGTTCTTCACTGCTGAGCGATCGGCAGTGTCTGTCATTGTTTTGTAACTGCTGTTGTGTCTCCTCGTTTATTTGAACATCCTGTGCTTCTCGCTGCTTAGGACGCTGGAAAGGAGCAGTGTGTGTTTCCGCTGCCTGAACCCCAGGACCTCTTCCAGGCCTCACAGATGAAGTTTGAAGATTTTCAAAAAGACCTCAGAAAACTGAAGAAAGACCTGAGAGGTAACGTACAGTCTTAAAGGAACTCATGATTGTTATTTATGCTTTTTCAGTGAGAGGAAGGCTTCTGTCACGTTGTCGTTAAAAGATAAGTATTCCCTCGCACCCCGTCTGTGGTGCACCTGCCCAGGATCCTGTGGCTTGTGAGCTTGCCTGGGAAGAAAATACTTTCTTTCACATGTTTGGTCAGAAAACATACGCGTGCATAATGCTTTATTGTTGGTTGAGAAGCCTTCAATCAAATCATTTTGAAGAGAGTTTGAAATTCTTTGAAGTTGTAAATTTGAAGTAATACATAAAAGCAAATAGTTCACAAATTTTTTTTTTATTTTGTGAAAAAAAAAATCCCTTTCATCCCTTCCCCTCTTGTAATGAAGTACGGTTGGCTTACAGAATTGTACTCGTTTCAGGTGCACAACTTAGTGGTTCTGTGTTTTCACATGTGACAGACCGTACAAAGTTATTACAGTGTTCTTGACTATATTCCCTATGTTGTGCCTTACATCCCCGTGACTGACGTATTTTATAACTGGCAGTCTGTACCTCCTAATTCCCTTCACCTTTTTCACTCATCCCTTTTATCTTCTTTTCATGAGGCTTCTTGTTACGGAGTTGAGACACCTCACCTACCTATTTAAGCCTCTTTCTAACTATTTAAGAACAGACAGGAAGTGAGTAAGTTAATGTGAGGTTTTCATTTCATGTCTCACTAGATGAGAAGAAGAGGCTTGGTTACTGCTGCCCAGAAACCAAGAAGATGATAAAAAATTTTAAGAGATTCAGTCTCAGTGCTGAAGTGTTTATCCAAAGATATTGACCTGTAGTCAAACTTATGGAGCTGTTACATTCCAGTTACAGATGCTTTTATATGGATTTAAGTCAAAATAGTAACATTGTGTAGTTTGCTTGTTGTTCTTTAACACTCAGCATTCATTACGGGCCTGATGCCGGACAGGTATTTGCTAGGTGCTTTGGGCACCCAGGGATGCAGCCGTCACTGTCCAGGGAGGGTGAAGACTTGGCATTAGGATGCTCCACCTTAGAGCCTCTAATACAGGTGCTCATTGATTGAGTCCAGGAATGACTGCCTTGTTTTTTTAAAAATAACAATTAAAACTATGTTATATTTATGTTGTTTATGTAATGCTACATTACCGTGCATTTAAGTATGATTTTTTTAAC